TGCGATACTGGCGCGCCCATTCAGCGACTACCCCTATGTTAGGGTTGTGTCCATACGTAGTCGTGCGTTGCGCGTTTGTTCTCACCAACTACACTACTACTCTTTCAATACACTTTTTCCTTTCTCCTTTTCGTCTGTTTCTTTCTTTTCTCGTAGCTCTCGGGAAGCCCTTGCTTCGATCTCAACAACTCCCTGGTCGGGCTCGAGTCGGAAGACCCTTTCTCCTCCGCGCGGGCCGTCGCTCGTGAAGCCGGCCGCCCTCTACGCCTCGGGCGAGTGCTCGTGACGCTCGGCTGTCGCTCTACTCGCGAATTAGACATAGCGCACGTCCTCCAGAGCCGCGCTTCAGGCCTCAATATCCTCGCCGGCGATAGACGGTTCATCGGTACAGAGTCGGCTTGTAGTTGCGGAGCTTCGACCTTGGAAGGAGAAACCGCAGTCCCCAACTCGTGTACGCAGGCAGGTGGCTTGTAGGGCAACTATGAACTCCACATACTGACAAAGGCGAGTGAGATGATGTACGCAGGCAAGATGCCCGTGAGCACGCACCCCTGACACCCGAAGTCCGATGGCTGCACGTGCCCCGAACAGCCGAAGGCGACACGATCACGCCCCTTGAATCAACGTGCGCGGCTTGTCTGCTTCGGCGCTGACAGCATTCATGAGCGCTGAAGTTGGGTAGAAGACCCACGCATCCGTACCAGTACGGAATATCGTCTTCGATATGTAGTATGAGGTGTTGACACTTGAGTCTCCCAACGCTCAACCAGGCCGCTGTAGGAAGTCCGTGCTTGCCCNGATAGGGCACCGGCGCCGGAGGGCTGGCAGCACGGAGAGGGGCAAGCGCTGGTCTTGGTTGGAGGTCAAGTTCAAGTCGACGTCCGACGTCGGCCTCGCTTATTTATATATGGGCGAGGCTGAAACATTTCGGAAGCTCGCACGTGGTGGCAGCACATCCAGACCCACCTTCGGCAAGCACCCAGGGATGGACGCTTGCTGTAGAGACCCTACCAGAAGGTCATAATCATCCGCTAATTAGACAGTGCTATCACAGAGGAAGTCTGTTAGATCTGTCTTGTCTCAGTGTCCCCAATGCAAGTGGATGAAGGCGCCAGCAACCACCACATGTATGCTCTGTACGCAGCTCGGCAAGCCCTCTCAGGCCGGCAGACTCGATCAAAGGCATACCCGCCGGTCGCCCGCGCAGATTTGCAGGCGGTTG